ATTACATTACATTACATTACATTACATTACATTACATTACATTACATTACATTACATTACATTATATTATATTATATTATAGTTGTATTATAGTTATATTATAGTTATATTAGAGAGATTTTATGAAGTTCTGCACAGGATGGACCATCATTAAAAGTTAGAAAATCTTTGGTTTTTAATTTAAAAACAAATTATTTTTACTCAAACTTGAGAAAACTTTCAAAACACTTAACAAAATATTTTAGTTTTTGCTTCGAAATTTAAAAAAAGCATCAAAACTTTTTTAACAGATTTGCGTTGGCACCATTTTTGTACAGTTTGTTCACTTTTCGATTCAACTGCTCAGTGGGCAGCTAATAGCGGATTAGCTGGTTTGCTAACTTTGGTCCACTAAAAACAAGTGTAAAACTCCTGTTTTTATGCCATTTAACCTGAATTAAATAAAAACTCTTACAATCAGGGTGTTAGCATGTAGCATCTTTAGCAGCTAAACTTAAACTAAGAGCGTCCGAAAGAAATAAAATAGCATTTAACAATATTTAAAAAATGAATCCAAAAAGTGACTGCTTATAAAATATCGTAGGGAAAGTATCTGTTCTTTGAATTACTTCAAATGATATTTATGAAAAATAGAAACTCCATTAAAGTGATGCTTTTATTGTGAAAGAGAGAAACTGAAAGAATAAAGAGCTACAATGCTAGGTGTTTGACGTGATCCTTCTGCAGGGTTGAACTTTTCTTGATTCTGAGCGCAGTTTGACTTTCATCCCTTCACCCCCCTCCTCTGCACCGCCTCCCCCCGGCTTTTCCAAATCCAGAACTGGTTTCTAAACATTTCATCGTCCTGGTAACTCACCACAAAGTCATGGTTCCGTCCTTCATCCCCGTCCCCCCTCTTCTTCTCCCACTCTCCTCCCCCCACAGCTGCAGCAGTACCAGCAGGCCTTCGTCCAGCATCATCATCATCATCAGGCTCAGCAGCCCCTCCCCTTCATGACCTCGCCTCTCGAGTTCCAGATCCCTGTGGGTTCTTATAACACCACCACGCCCACTGCTGGACCTGGACCGGGCCAGATGGGTGGACCCTCACCTGTGGACCCCTCGTACTCAAACAGCAGGTAACATTTGAATATTTTATTGTTTCAGATACTTTAAACATGAGGTGAGCTGTTAGAGTCTCTGCTGGTTCCACTTTAAACATTTCTGTCAGACTCTGCTGCAGATTCTCAGGTAATAAGAAATGAAACAGGAGGCAGCTGTCTGGTCGGTCGTTCGGTCGTTCGTTCGTTCAATCATTCGTTCATTCGGTCGGTCGGTTGGTCGTTCGTTCAATCATTCGGTCGTTTGATCAGTGGTTCGGTCGTTTGTTTGATCGATCAATCATTCGGTCGGTCATTCATTCAGTGGTTCGTTCGTTCGATCAACCGTTCGATCATTCGGTTGTTCGTTCGTTCGATCATTCGGTCGGTCGGTCGTTCGTTCGTTTCATCATTCGTTCGACTGATCATTCGGTCGGTCTTTCATTCAGTGGTTTGTTCGTTCATTCGGTCGTTCGTTCGATCATTCAGTCGGTGGTTTGTTCGTTCGATCATTCGGTTGTTCTGGGGGGGTCAAAAAGTTCTGCCGGGGGCTTGTGCCAAAAGGGGCTGTCGACACGACGCTGCCAAGCCTGGTGACGTAATTTTCATCATTAAACTGCGACAACCCGTGCCAACGTCGGCAGTTCACAGGGAGTATGTTTCCAGCTGAAGACTACAAGTTCAAAATACAGTTAATAATACTATAAATGCTTGTTATTTCAACCTTAACCTTATCTGTATTTTAAAAACTATGTTTTAATATTTGATTAAAATATATAATATAATATAATATAATATAATATAATATAATATAATATAATATAATATATAGTTAGAAAACCTTTGATCAAACTGTCAGGTAAGTGATGCATGCAACGAGACTTGACTTAGACTTTTGGTCAAAGACTTGGACTTGCAATAAAAGACTTGTGCACATCTCTGGTAAATACTTCAGTTTCTTGTTATATTTGTATATTTAGAGGTTTTGATCCCCACGCGCGCGCACACACACACACACACACACACACACACTTGAAAATAGAACTACAGACAGTGAAAAGTACTTACTAGATGTAAAGCGTTGGATTTTGTTCTTTATTTCCTAACAGATAAACCTAATAAATAAAAGGAAAATAGTTAAATTTTCCTTTAGGTCACCTTCTGAAATGTCAGTTTTTCTCCTCCTCTCTGGACAGAAACCTTCTTGTTGTCTCTGACGGGAACGCTCCAGCCTCTCAGAGCAGCAGCGCCGGCAGTTACCCGCCCGACATGTCGCGCTGGAACCCTTTCGGCGAGGACAACTTCTCCAAACTAACGGAGGAAGAGCTGATCGACCGGGAGTTCGACATGCTCAGAGCAAGCAAGTGAACCTTTGGTTGTTTAAAAACGTTAAAAAGTTGAAGTGACTCTTCTAACGTGAAGTTTGGATCATTAAAATCGTGTCTCCAACAGAGAAGCCGGTTGAAAGAACCGCCAGCGTTGAAACGGACCAGCCGCCGCTCACCGCCCCCCACGCCAAGCCCTCTCCTCCAGAGGATCTGTTTGGCTCCGCCCCCTTCGTGGCCACCGCAGGCAAGTCTTAGAGGAGTCTCTACCGTGAGGACCCAACACTGTGGAGCCCCCTGAGCCCCCTCCAGGCAGGAACCCACAAAAACCAGTCAAAGTTTTAGCTTTTAGCTGAGGAAGCAGCTTTGTAAACTTTCTGCTCTTAGTTTATTATTAGACTCAAATACTCTGCTTTAACTGACATTTATGCAAAAAAACAAACAAAAAAAACCCCACAAAAAACAAGCTGGATGTTTCCTATAAAGTCTCTGCTGTGGGTCGTTTGGCTAAAAAACGTTTTTTTTTTTTTTTTATCTGGATGTCGTTACAAAAAAAGACAGTACTTGTTGTTTATAAACAGAAAACTGTTGTTTTATAAATGCTTACTGTTGTTTATATACAACTGGCTGTTTATAAACCAATATCTGGTGTTTATAAACAAAAAACACCAGTTATCTGTTTATAAACTACAGCCAGCTGTTTATAAACTACAGCCAGCTGTTTATAAACAACTACCTGTTTATAAACTAGTTATCTGTTTATAAACTACAGTTATCTGTTTATAAACTACAGTTATCTGTTTATAAACTACA